TGCCCTAGATCCCCTGATCCATGAGAGGGACGCGCTATTCTCCTTCCTTCTCCCTGGACGATTTTGGCGCACAAAGTAATAATAAGGCACGGAGGAATAGTAAGGAGACCGATCTCTGCGTTTGAAAATGTCAGAAAAACATGTACGACCCGTGTGGAAATCTTCAAAAGGCGTTAGAGAGGCCCTGGCCAATCTGCCTTGTGAATAGAAAGGGACTGGGGAGTAATATTGGCCAGTAACTGGACAGGCTGTAATGCTAGTTTTGGGGAATGCCTTTAAAAGGGGAAACTGGCCAGTGCCTGGCATGTTTTTCTGGAGAAAGCCTTGTTCTTTTTTTAGTAGAAGCCTTTTCGTTTTTACAACAAAGTTTTAAATAAATAAATTAAAATTAATTGTTACATAATCTTTCTCATGAATTTATAAAAAATTAATTACATTAATATTAACTTATTAAAAATATTAATATATTTATAATTTAAACAAGGATAGAATTAAAAAATATATTCAGAGTACTCATTTCAACAAAATAATATTTTAGTTTAAAAATTAGTTATTATTTAATTTTTTTAAACTTTTTTTTATTTGAAGGCAGGAATTTTATGCACATTTATGTCTATTATTATTTAAGAGTCAACATTAACATTCTATGTACCCAGTTATACTTACATACAAACATACATATATTCAGAAAATTCCTAACGCAGGGATTCGAACCCCTAACACAATATCGCAACGCAAGTTTGGATAACGCAAGGACGCTTTAAACCGCTCGACCATATCGGAGGTCGTGTAGAATTCACTTTGGAGAAAAGTGTACTTTTAAAAGACAGGTCATGTAAACCCTCCCCCTCTCTCTCTCTCTCTCTCTCTATCTCATCCTTTAAAAAAATGAAAACCCTAAGTTATTTAGATTCTTTGCAGGTATGGATCGTTTTATGGGGTCTTTCTTACAATATGTCACATGTTTGTAGCAAATTTTTGGGATTTCCCAGATGCAATTATACTACTCCTATTCGAAATGAAATTATATTATTTTAAGTATTTAAAATAACAAAAAATTAATTTTATGGTTGAGCCAAAAACAGGTGACAAACCATTTAACTAATAAAATGTTTCATGTTTATTATTCATATTAATACTTAAGAAAATAAGCTTCTCAATGTGTAACTTTTGTTTCATTCGACATCTTCTAACACGAAGACGACTCAGTTCGTCTCTTTTTCTTTTATTCTGTCGTTGCCGAGAATTTATGGTAAAAATCTGTATGGTATTGATAAGTATTTCTATTGAAAGTCCTATTAAGGGCTCTGGCGAGAAATTCTATATGGCGTTAGTTAATATTTCTGGTGAAAGCCCTATTAAGGGATTTGGCGAAAAATTCTATGTGGCGTGAGCCAGTATTTCTGGTAAAAGCCCCATTCAGGGCATTGGCTAGAAATTCTAGTTTGGTGTTGGCAAGTATTTCTGTTAAAAGCCTTTTTAATGGCTCTGACCAGAATTTTTATACGGCATTGACGAGTATTTCTGGTAAAACCCCTTTTAAAGGCTTTGACCAGAATTTTTTTAAGGCATTGACAAGTATTTCTGGTGAAAGCCTTATTAAAGGCACTCACCAGAAATTCTATTAAACACCACACATTTTGGAAAGGCGTTTACAAGTAACACTGGTAAATGCCCTTATAAGGGCTTCAACAGAATTTCTGGTAAACGCCATGAAAAAAAAATTGTAATAACCGTTAAATAATGATATTTATTAATAGTTAACAACGGTATTGGAAAAAAAAGTTATTAAAAACTTGTATTTATATATTTTTTTATTAATCTAGAAAAACTGGCCAGGGCCTCTCTAACGCCTTGTTATTATCAGGGCCAAACAGGGCCATTTCCACACGGGGATAAGTGCCAGGTTCAGTGCATTGTACTCAACTGGCCAAAGTAGTTGAGCATGCGCATTGGACCTCAATTTTGACAGATGAAAAGTGTGGTTATGCGATATACATATATTATGTCACAAAAAAATCTTAGTGTTCAGTGTTTATTTCAGAAATTTTATTTACCATTGCGATATTGTATCTCCAAAATCATGTGTAAGTATATAAAAATGTATGCTATTGGAACCCTACCGAAAGAGTGGTACTGGAATGGTACTAAATTGGACTTGGCTTGAGTTCCACTTCAGTACCACTACCTGATAACCCATAAGAAGACATTTTTAAAGTACTTTAACAATAGTTTTAAAGGTATATAAGATCAACAAACCGTCTCTCACGATATACGTGTAAAACAGCAAAAAAAACATAATAGTTTGTAGAAAATTTCTGTTAAGTTTAGAAATTATATTGCAATCCCTCCTTGAACAATAGACCCTTAGGTCCTTTGTTGAAGGATTAAAATTTTAACCCGAGTTTTATTGCTTAAAAAATTTGTAATTTTAATAACTTAACTTTAAAAAATATATATTCAGTTTCGTTAATATTTCCAGATTATGAATATCTAAAATTTATCATAAAATAATTACATTTAAAAAAGTTATAATTTATCTCGTATACCTTAAGTTTGATAAAAAAATGGACATCATTTTTGAATTTAGCTGCCAAAGGAAATATCATATGCATAATAATGTATGAAAATAATATAAATCCATGAAAAACAAATATAATATTGAAATAAATATAATGTTTTAGTTTAAACATATTGAAAAAGCTAGTCGCTTTTCACTTTTACGAGGGTATTAACGGTAACTCGACCCTTTTCGCAGGTAAATTTCCCAGTTCCATTTCAGTACCAAAATGCACCAAATTAGAACTGAGTTGGTACTGAGATCTCAGTTCCAATTTCCCAGTACCAATCCAGTACCACCCTTCCGGTAGGGAATATTTAAAGTGTCAATAAATTGAAGTAATTATTAAAAGAATAATGGAGCCATAGTAATTACAAACATATTATTTATTATGTATGTCATGAAAAAGATTTTTCTTACATCCTGCCACACAGCACGACATTTTAAAATAAACATTAATAATAATTATTAAAATAATAACACATAACCCCTTCATCACAACACGCATGGAAGACTTGAGAAATATACGTCAGCCAGATCTCACTCGCACACTTTTTGCGAGAGAAAGAGAGAGCACATGGCTAATGCGCATGCTCAGCTACTTTGGTGGTTATGTAGAATGCAGTGAAACTGGCACTTATCATGCATGTTTTTCTGACATTTTCAGAAGCACTACTACAGCAAGATCGGTCTCCTTACTATTCCTCCGTGTAATAAGGAGACTTCACTCCATGTATTCAATGTCCCCAGTTTAGGGAACATGATGAGTTGAACGTAGCAGCACAAGCGCCCCTTAAGAAAAAGCTGGAAAATACAGATTTTCCAGTGTCACGTAATGTTTTTTTGCGTAATGGTTTTCCCTTACATTTCCCGGTGCATATGCACTGATGATAAACAATTGTTTTTTGTTATGAATTTTTATTTTTATTATTGAGGTTTCTAAAGTTTCCATTCTCGTCTGATATGATAGTTTAATGCTCTCATAGTTAATTAGTTTATTTATTATTATGGCTGTGCCGCCGCCTTTTCCTTTAATTCTATCATCTCTTATAATATTGCTGTACGTTTTAAAAAACAATTTATGACTATTTTTCAATTTCATTTCGCTTATTAAGGCAATATCAATTTTGTATTTATTAATATATTGTAATGATTGTATCTTCTATTGTTAGCTACAATTGAATTGACATGTATTGCTAAAATATTTATATTACCAAATTTTAATATATTTGGTTTTTGATTATTTTTTTTTATTATCCATTATTTTTATTTTTATTTAATATATTGTATAAATGCTCTATATTTTGTTTATTTTGATTTACTATCTCTTTGACTCTGTCTAGCTCTGTGGTTAAATATGATTCTTAATTTGTTCCATAAACGATCTTGTCATCCATGATGTGCGCATAGAGGTAGTAAATAATATCAATAATAAATGTATGGTAATTTCATATGACAGTGACCATAATGCATTATTTTTAAAAATACAAATAGGAAATCTAGATAATTTTTTGTTCACACAAGAGCAAAATAATAAATTCAATTTAAACAAAACCAATTGGGAAAAATACAAAAAACTTAAAAAAAATAGAAATAAATATACCCAAGGATAAAAATTTGAAAAACTTATATTCATTTCAAATTTAGCCAAACTTTAAAAATTATGGTTGGCAAAACATACGCATCTAAAGTTGGACCAACGTTGGAGTCAGTTGTCGGGCCCAACTTTTGGCATGCGAAGAAGGGCCAACCACAGGAATAATTGGCCCAACTTTGGGCCGACCAAAAATTGGCACCTGGGAATCTAAATTAATTGTACAGAAATTTTTCGCACAATTTTAATAAATTATAATGAATTCAAATATCTGTTTTCTTTTAATAAAGTATCAATATGTATTACTTTATTATTATTTATTATTATTATATATATTATTATATTATACATTATTATTATTATTATTATTTATTACCTTCACTTTTCGTATATAAATTGATCGCATATTCAAATTTGTGTACATTATAGCTTTGTCAAATTCAAAATCAGCTTTAAATTTAAATTTAGTTTTAATTTTCAAAAAGTTTTATAATTTCTAAAAATTCAAGCTTGGCGAAAATTTATTAGACAGACACATAATTATTAGAAACTATTAAAGAAAGTTTGTACAAACTTATTTCCAGAAAACCTGAATATTTTACTGTTACAAATAATTAAGTGTAACAATGGTTTGAAGAATATGCAAGGATCAAGGGTGGCAAGTCTTAAGTTCTCTAACAATTGTAAATGGATAATTCCATTTAATAGAAACAATTCTTCATTATATTATTTTTAGTACACTGTGTAATCAGTTATTAATAAAAATCAATTGTTAGAGAAAACAAGACATTTGCAATGCCGAAAACTTTTTGGATGATTGTATTATTAGAAAAAATAAACTCTATATTAATATAAAAATAATATTATTTATGTAAAATTTGTTAGAATAAATAGTAGAAAATAATTTTATAACCGACATTATAAGAAGTTCGTTATGATATAGACATGAAGATAGTAAAATATATTTTATATATAGTTATAAAAAATTTACTTTACAGTATGAAAATATTATAAATAGTAAAAAATCCAGAGAATGTGCAATTTAAAAAATACATATATTAAAAAACAATTAATGAATATAGTATTTAAAATCATCAAGTACATTTTTTAAACTTTCGTACAGGGATACACAATATCCAATTCTCTTTCCAACGCAAGAAAACTGTCCTCTCCTAGAGACTGTCTAAGATGATGTCTAGCAATGCGTACAGAACGTCTAAGCTTCTGGGAATCCATGCCAGAAAATGTTTTTCTACGCGTCATTGGTGTTTGGAAATTTTCCTTATTATCTGTTTTTGTAGAAGGAGTCATTAATTTTATTAACGGATTCCTATCTATTGTTTTTGGTGTTTTTAATAAGTTATTTTCGATACTTTTCAAATTTCGTTTGGGTGTTGAAAGTACAGAAGTAACGTCTATTGTAGGACTTCGAGAGCATTGTTCAGTTACTGTTGAATTTAAGTTTTCGATTGTATCCTGTTCTTTTTGAATCTCTTTCGTTACAACATCATTGGTAGATGGAAACTTTAAACAGTCCTCTAATCTCACTCGCAATGTGTCAATTTCGTGGAGAGATTTTTCATTCGACAATATATTTTCAGAGTTCGTCTCAGAAACAGATGGTGTCAAAAACGAAATAGAAGGAGGACTCGTGTCACCATAAGTTGGTTCTATTTTCACATCAATTATGTCACAGAGTTCCGAAACAGGATTAAAGACATTTTCAATGATAGGAGGAGGCGGGAAGAATGTTGAAGTATATTCCTTATTACCACACACAGTAGATTGTACCTGAAAATGTGTAAATATAAATTATTTAAATTTATGATAATGTAAAAACGTTTTTAAATAAAATATCCGCACAGCAAAATATCTTCTTTTAAACTTATTGAGAAGATTGGTAAAATCCTAAAAGAAGCTTAAAATATCCACCTCACGGGAAGCTTCCCTAGAATCTTGAGGGAATCGAGGAATGCTTCTTTGAACATTTCAGTGGAAAGTTAATTTTCTTGATATTTTGGAATGAATGCAATTCTTCACTTATATTATACTGATACATAAAATTTAGAAAAAATAGTCAAACAACTTTCTACTGAATGCTTCCCATGAAGCGGATATTTAAAGCTTTCTAGAAGCTTCCACCAGATCCTCACGGACCTTCCCAAGAAGCTTCTAGGAAGTTATCGTGCTTTATGGATAATTTCAAATATGCGGCAATCTGTCAGATCCGTTTAAAATAATAATTAAAATATTTCTACTTTTATTTTCGGAAAATAATATTTGAACAAAAATAAAGCCAATAATAGTATTTTAAATTATCATTTTTTTCAAATACACGAAGGGATAATTAGGTAGGTGTAGTTTTTGTGTCCGATTTTAAAAAAAAACTAAACGTGAAAATGATAAACATTGATTTTAAAATACTTTCTTCTCGAAAGATGAACACTTTTTACAAAAGCAGCTAGAGATCCTTATCTTATATAAATTTCCTAAATCCTAAAGATTATACGAATCCATACAAAAACACGATTGCAAAACGAAAAGTAATATAATGAGGGGTTCATTACCTCCTGCCGCCGTCAGATGGCAGCAGCATGCAGGGCGCACAAAGTCGCAGCTGTTATTAGATTACTTTTCTACTTTTTGTTTTGCAACCATGTTTTTCTATGTATTCGTACAGTCTTTTGATTTAGGAAATTTATAAGATGAGGATTTTGGCTGATTTTGTTAAAAGTGTTCGTGTTTCGAGAAAAAAGTATTTTAAAATCAATACTATTTCACGTTCAGAGCGATAATTAAAGCTCTCTTCTTGCCAAAGAATTTCAGATACCGTTCGACACTCTTAATGCATAAATATAAAAACGAAACAAGAAAATAACTTCATTGTTAATAAATTTATATGAACCCAAATCTAAAACATCTATTATCTATACGCATATAAGTATACATTAAATAAATTCTGGTTCCTCATAAAATACTATTTTTAAATATTTAAAACTCAATTTGTTTTAAATTGGGCACGTAAGCTGATTTTAAAACCTATTGAGAAAAGTTTTTTATTCATCTTAGAACCATAATCAAAAAGAATTTTTAAGTGCCAATTCATTTTTATTTAAACCTCCTTCTGGCGCACCGTGATAGGCTTGCTGAAGGACAAGGTTGAGTTCTTAGCTTTATTTATGAAGCAGGGAAATTTCATTGAACCACATATGAAGGTTTTCGTGTATCGAAATCGATAGTCAGACATTGGGGAATATTTTTCTAAAGATGAAGATCTGGTATATTGCACTGACATTAACGGACTCCTGAATGAAATGAAATAAAATTGCTACAGATTGGCTTTTCGATCAGTTGCTCAAAACATCCTAGGCAATCAAAGAAGTCTACAATACAAGGAATTAGCCGCCAAGATGATCCGGAATAGAAGAAACTAGGATGCTTAATAAACTTGAATTTAATTTATTTATAGAAATTGTTAAATAAAGCAATTTATTTGTTAAATTTTTGGAAAAATTTATAATAGTGAATTTTTGAAGACTTACAATTTTTAAACAGAAAAATGAAAAAAAAATTTGACCTATATGTTTTCAAAAAGTTTTTTCCTGCTCTCTCGAATGATGCAACAATTTTTTCAAATAATTCAAAATTTGACCCTTTTTTGAAAATTAAAAATTTTTGTGACTTTTTTTTAAGATCGGTCTTTTTCTTAATTTTTTTTTAAGATAAAAATGTGTACTTTTACCACAAAAAATATTGAGATGTCCTTTTTTGTTATTTTTGAGATATTAATAAAATTAATGGATATACTTCCGAAGTAGGGGTACCTCCGATTTTAATAAAACTTGGTATACTAACGTATTTTGGTGCGCTGATTACGAAAATGATAGTGAAAATTGGCGCAAATTTGATAATCATGGTAAAAACCATAAAAAACACCATAAAATCATGGTTTTTTACGATTATCTCGTAAAAAACAAAAAATTTCGAAAACAGTTTTAGACAAAAGTTGTAGATCTCAAAAAAAACACATTTTATGTTTTATCCATTTTTTATCAAAAGTCATTATTTTTCGAGAAAAATGGTCCGAAAGTAATTTGCGGAAATTGTGGGGTGGAGTCTACAGCAGCGGTAAATGCAAAATAGTAAACACGGCCTTCGGCCGCGTAATGTACTGCTCGCTTCTCTTTTTAAGAAATCTTGGCGAGAGGGGGTGGATGTGTCCGAAAGTAATTTGCGGAAATTGTGGGGTGGAGTCTACAGCAGCGGTAAACGCAAAATAGTAAACACGGCCTACGTACGCGTAAGGTACTGCTCGCTTTTCTTTTTAAAAAAAACCTTGGCGAGAGGGGGTGGATATGGCCGAAAGTTTTTTGCGGAATTCGTTGGATCCTGAGTAATGGTGAATATGATACTACACTGGAGTCTCCCAAGAGAGGACTTCTGAAGAGAGGACTAAGTAGTGACGCGGCGCGGTAAGGAGTGAGGGGAGAAGAGATGGGCGGGATCAGAAAGAGGAACGTGAACTCAGGAGCGTTTGTTCTTAGTGTACCTTTCTCGCGCAGTGTTTTATGTATGTAATAGAATGTATTCTGTTAAAAAAACACATCTCTGTGATACGATATACGGCCCGGGAGTGTTTACAATTTTCGGCGTCAAGGGCGAATTCCGTAGAGAGGTCCAAGACTCTTCCTGTCCTCTCTTCGGAGACTCTAGTGTATATACAAGTCAAATAATATGTCTAACCATGACTGCTGTATATGTTTTCATTATCATGGTGTTTTTCGTTTTTTGGATTTTTCTCAAAAAATAATGACTTTTGGTAAAAAATGCATAAAACATAAAATGTGTGTTTTTTGAGATCTACATCTTTTGTCTAAAACTGTTTTCGAAATTTTTTGTTTTTTACGAGATAATCGTAAAAAACCATGATTTTATGGTGTTTTTTATGGTTTTTACCATGATTATCAAATTTGCGCCAATTTTCACTATCATTTTCGTAATCAGCGCACCAAAATACGTTAGTATACCAAGTTTCATTAAGATGTTAATGTTATAAATGAATATCACTTAAATTAAAATTAACCCCTTCGCAGTCTAGGCCAAAATCTCATAAGTGGGCCCAAAATGTCAGTAAATTTTTGAATGACCAAAATTTGTGAAAATGTGTATACTATGGTATTTAAGGTCGCTAATTACGATTCCAAAGTCAGATTTTAAAAATTCAAAATGGCGGAGCCAATATGGAGGACGATTTTTCAAAAAATGACAAAAATGATTTAAAAATACTTAAAAATTGTTACTCGGAGGTTTTTGGGGTCGCTGATTACGAATCTAAAGTCAGATTGCAAAAATTCAAAATGGTTGAGACAATATGGCGGACGATTTTTCAAAAAATGACAAAAATGTTTTTCAAATACTTAAAAATTATTACTCAGGGGTTTTGAGGGTCGCTGATTACGAATCTATAGTCAGATTTCAAAAATTCAAAATGGCGTTACCAATGTGGCAGATAATTTCTCTCTAACGTCGCTCTTTACGATATTCAAGTCAGATTTTGAAAATTCAAAATAGCATAGTATGGGTGTGATTATTATTGTATCCATTTTGAAATTTTGTAATTCTCACATCAAATTCGGAATCAGCGACCCCAAAAACTCCCGAGTAACGAGTTTCAAACGAATATGGTCAATTTTCAAAATTTTTGGTCGCCATATTGGTTCCGACATTTTGAATTTTTGTAATTCTGACATCAAATTCGGAATCAGCGACCCCAAAAACCCCCGAGTAACGAGTTTCAAGCGAATATGGTCAATTTTCAAAATTTTTGGTCGCCATATTGGATCCGCCATTTTGAATTTTGTAAATCTGATATCAAATTCGGAAGCAGCGACCCCAAAAACCCCCGAATAACAAATTTTAGGCCAATTCCGTCTTATTATTGGGCTCAAAATTTATGTGCGTGTATACACGTCATCGACACTTTGAGCCCACTTATTCCATGACGTGTATACACGTCATCGACACCCAAGGGGTTAAAATAGTGAATAAGCAGTAATGCGCAAGCTAGAAAAAGATTAAAAGTAGAGGGGATGTGCGTATGCGATTACGAATTAGGAAAAGATGATATAATGGTTTATGGGCACGTATGAGTGAGTTGGCTTGTAAAAGCGATAAATACAAAACGAATATTTAAATGATATTAATTGATGTGATTTAGTGATGTGTTACATAATAAAGGAATGCGAAGAAACGAAAGTGAATGAAGATGTAAAAGAAGTGCTGGGGGAAAATGGGCAAGGATTGGAAATAATGAAAAGGATAGAAAAAAAGAGAAATCTAGTGTTGGAAAAAGAGAAATAAAGACTGATAAGTGAGTTTTCTTTTTATATTTAATAAAGTTCGAATCAAGATGAAGTTTTGGATTAGGTTTGTAATTCGTTAATATACAAGGTTATTTTATGGAGTTGAATACTTCACTTTTGATTTTTAATGTTTGTTCATTTATTATATTACGACTTTTATAGTTTAGTTTATAGTTTACTCACATTTTAATTTAATTTAAGTTTTAAATTTACGTTTTGTGCAATTATTTTGATGTAATATAAGAATAGAAAGATGTAAACCGGAAGTTCGTCCGAAACCGAAAGGTGTGGACTATGAATAAATAATAATAGTGATGTGTTAATTAAGTGCTTTATAACTAATCGGTTATTCAGAAGTTATAGTTAAAACTTTGTGTATATTATACACCCACGTGTAGTTTGTAAACTAACATTAAATACTCTGTTTAA